GAAGGTTCCTTTTTTCTTTTTCAGTGAACCTGCTTAAAGCTGGCTCTATAACTAGTTTCATTGGTCCTCAAACTTAATCCCAGAAGCCCAAGAAAAGCTGCTTACCACTTGGGCTTCGGAACAGCACAGGTACAGGTGGGCTGTCAGGGTCCTGGGGGGTTGCCTCCAAGTCGTCACTGTCAGACCTTTCAGCCATAGACTCATCTCCAGCCTTATGCTGACAGGTGCTCTGCCTTGGCTCCTTAGTCTCAGTATCACTGCCAGCCTGGCCAGAATGGGACGATGCCTCTTCCAGGCCATTAATGGGCAATGCAACGATCTGGGCACTCATCAGGGCTTCCATCTCTTCAAAAAAGGGGCAGGTACCAGGTGGATGACCACTCTTGACCTTCCTGTAGCTCTTCTGAAGGCCTTTGAACTTGGTCCGGCACTGTTCCAGGGTCCAGAGGAAACCGTAGGCACGCAGCCTCTCAGCTACAGCCCCATACAATTGGCTGTTCCTATGGCAGTTTTGGAGAGCTTCATAAAATTCAGTTTGACTGAGAATTCCGAGGAGTGTTCTAGTTTCTTCATAGCCCCAGTGCACACCCACCACCTTCTCATCATCAAAGACCCAGTGATCCTGTTCCATCCAGCTGTTTCTCTCTCTCCTGAATGGTAATGGTCTGTCTCCTGTGCTGCTGCCTTTTGGGACATCCTTTTCCTTGATGCTGAGCAGATCTGGGATCCAAGGCTCTGCTTGATCCAACCTGGAGACCACATCAGGCTTAGGAAACAGAAATCCTGTTTTCAGGGAAGCAAACCAAAGAATCACAGTTTGGACTGATCATAAAAACAAAAACAAAACCTTTCAAATCAGCCTTGCCTCTTTCATCTTCTTTATTTGAGATAGGACCTCATATAGCCCAGACTAGCCTGAATGAGGCTATGTAATGGAGGATGACCTTGAACTTCTGATTTTCCTACCTCCACCTAAATGCTAGGATTACAAGTGTGTAACACCTAGCTGATTTTTATAGGGTGCTGGGGATCAAATGAGGCCTTGTGCACACTGCATTCTACAAACTGAGCTACATTCACACCCTCTATCTAAAAGATTATGAAGGAGCTGTGCAGTGGTGGCACATGCCTTTAACCCCAGCACTCGGGAGGCAGAGGCAGAGGCAGGCAGATCTCTCTAAGTTTGAGGCCAGCCTGACCTACAAAGAAGGCTCCAGGACATCCAGGGCTACAGAGAAACCCTGTCTCAAAGAAACAAACAAAAAAAGATTATAAAGGAAATATTCTTAGAAAGTTCAATGGGTTGAAGAACAGAAAAAATACAGGAAACCTCAAAGGATGAGAAAGAATTGGATTTCTGTTCTAGAGCAGAACAAGAGAAAATGTTCCACTGTGTTTGGCTCAGGTATTTCCAGTTTTCTCCCCGGCCTCCACACCACTTGTCTGCAGACGGTAGCACTTCTCAATTAGCCACTCTCACTGATTTCAAGAGTTTGGGGTGGGGGTAGGGGACAGGGTGGGGAGGATGGACCTGTCTTCAACTTGATTCACAGTTAGTCACCAAATTCTAATGGTTTTCCTCAGCATGTCCTCTCCAGCCAAGTCCAGACCCTTAATGCTCCCATAGCTGGCAACACAGTAGTCAGTGTCCTACTAGCTCCTTGGCTCACATGCTATCCTGCCGAACTTTAACCTTGGTGTCTAGCATGTCCTGTCCATTCCTGTTTTCTCAAGAATACTGAACACTTTTATTCACCTCTGTGCCTTCATTGCTATTGTCTACACCAGCCCAGCATTTGGGAAGTCCCCTTGCCAATGCCCTCAGGAGGTGTTCCCTACAGCCCCTTATCATGGCCACACTGAGCAAGTCCTTTACACTTTTTCTTCAGATAGTTGAGTTCAGCACGTAGTCACAACTCACTGTGTGTTCTTAAGTTATATTGTAAGCTCTTTGCTAGCAGTTATTTGAGCAAAACTTTCATTGTGTGTGCATGATGTGGGGGGTGGTGCATGTGGAGGTCGAGAACAGCATCATGGACCTGCTTCTAGTCAGGTCACTGGGCTTGTGCAGCAAGTACCATTATCAGCTGAGTCAGCTTGTTGGCTGACAGGCACCCTTTCTTACTGAGGTGTATGTACCCTACAGCACATGGCAGGTGTTTAAAACCTAATTAATTCTGCACGTCCGTATACTGAGGTTGAGGCATTTCTGATGGATGACTAAAGACCATTATCAAACTCACCAAGAGTGCTATCACTGGTTATATAGGATAAGATCGGAATTCAAAACAACCTCAACAAGCTTTAAATAATAAAACACAAAATGTAGTTCAACAGAGCACAAAGTAGAAAAACAAGTTCTACAAAATAAAGTAGAAGTGACTTGGTCCAAAGGCATTGATGAAATCTAAGAGTCCTGGGGTTACCAAGTGAACAAAGATTATCATATAGTCATATGCTGGGCTATCTGTAGGACATTGCAAAATTCTGAAGTAAAATTCCTACTGTCATTACAGACCTCACAGGAATAATACAGGTATAATATCATTCTCCACAATTAAGGTATTTAAAGAACTTCAAAGTTCCAATGTGGAGAATAGTAAGGCCGTAGGCCAAGAATGGAAATAATAGAGGGAATAGAAAAACAACTAGAAGAAAGGTATTTTCAGTATAGAAAAGTATATAGAAAATAAACATCTATCACCAAGAAATAAAATTATTATAATTGTTATAAAAACTAGGCAGACTTACCAAAGGAAGAAAGAGAAGAATACTTACTGTACCTGAGGGTTAAACTACCTGTCTTAAGAGGGTCCCAGCCACCTCACATTTGACAGGTTCCACTATTTCTGAAATCCCTTTCCCACTCACTGCTCCCAGCCCTATTCCCAACTTAGAACAGCTCTATCTTCCCACATGAATCTACTCCTCACCGCTCCTTTGAAAGGGTTTGAGCTTCTCCTTTGGGGTCATCTGCTCCTGTAGTCCCAGGGCTGGGCTTCTCGCCCTGTCTTGGATACACCCCTGGGCTGGGGTTCCACTGACTCCTGCAGAACACTTAACTCCTGTGGTGATTTCAGGGGCGTCATCTTCTCCGAGTGCATTTCCTGCCCCTTCACAGAGACTGTGACCTAGAAATAACCCCCCATTAATTATCAAAGTCATAACAAGGGGCATTCCCAGGGGAGATTATTTAATATCCCCGAAAGGACCATCCTCTGAGGCAAGGCCAGAGTGCAGGGTGGGAAGGTTGGGACAACAAGTGCTTATTCCATTATCATTAGCTTAGAGTGGCTGGGACTATAGAAAGGTCAACTAGAAACCCAAATGCCAACTGGAGAAAGATTTTCCATTGAAGAAACTAAAGGGAAAGAGTTACTGTAACAGAGTAGGCAAAGGTATACCCAAATGACATCTTCAGACAAGCCGGCTTTCAGACCATAAGTATAAAAATCACCTAAGTTCTTTCTGCGTGAGTGATCTGAAACGCTGTCCTTGCCTCTCCCCAGCCACACACTTCTGACTCGCCGAATGTTCAGGTCTTCCTGGCTCTCTTTCTAGGCCTTCCACCAGGGTCACCGCCTCCTCTCCATTTACTGGACAGCGCTTCTGTACCCAGTTCTGGATCTCCCCAGGTAGCACGGTCAGGAACTGCTCTAGCACCAACAGCTCTACAATCTGCTCCTTGGTCCTAACCTCCGGCCTCAGCCACTGACAGCAGAGTTCCCATAGTTGGCTGAAAGCCTCGCAGGGCCCAGACACCTCCGGGTAATGGAATCTTCTGAAGCGCTGCCGTAAGCTTTTGGAGTTAGTGCCGTTTTCTCTCAGAGTGGGTTTGGCCATCCTTGACAACAGAAAGCAGTCGCTCTCCTCTTAGTGTCTAGGTTCCGGGACTTAATATACTACCTTCCCATGCTATTGGAGAAACACCTGCAGGTGATCTCTCTGTAAAGGGTGTTTCTTCCTGGAGTAGAGAGAAATGGCACTATCAGAGGAATAGTTTTCCATGTTTAAAATCTTGCCAGAGCCGGCCTGACCTTCCGTATGCTCCAAGTGGCCTTCTCAGGTAGTACCATTTAGGGACAGCAAATCAATGAACAAGGAGAAAATGACCTTTCAAAGGCTGCGTTTCTAGGTGACGTCTAGAGCATCCCTATGAAGTTGCCGAGAATAGAAAAATCTATCTGCTTCACTCCCACTTCAACTAAATCTGATGGTGTTCAGCGCCCCAGATCAAAGCTGTATAGTGAGTTCGAACAGCACGGGAACCCGGGGGCCAGCGGAGGCGACAACAAAAAGCCTCGGTCCAGCTGGCCGCGGCTAATCTCCCCTAAAACATCGGCTGTCCTTCCGGAAACCCTGGGGTCCGCCCCGCCCCTTGAACGCCAAACTACGAATTTCCAACCCGAACCAAAGTCAAATGCTGAATGTTGGGTCTGCTGTTTGCTCCTCCCAGACGAAATAACTCAGCAAGAGTTGGGGAGCGACAGATGGGAACGTTCGCGCATCGAGGAAGCTGACTTGGGCTTCTAAACTGAGGTGGACTTGGGGAAGAGTTACTGGAGTTGGGGAAGCGAGGGAGCCCGAGGGGCGGCAGCGGCGGGTCTCCTGAGAACAAGGCTGGTGCTGGCCAGTGCTGCGAGTTCTGGGGCTTCGAGCGCTGCCCTGCCGCGAAGGCTGCCAAGTTCCGGCCTCTCTGTTCCCGTCCCTCCGGCCGGGTCGCTCTGGGAGACGTCGTGCAGCCGATCGGAACGCTACAGACTCTGCCAAGGCGTCCCGAGGACTCCCTCCGGCCCAGCCCTGGCCGCGCCGCTCGCATCCGGCTTGCCCGCGCCCTCGCCTCCCTTTCCCTGGGGCAGCCTCGCCGCCTCGGGCAGGCTAGACACACTCTCCGGCTACCAGCCCGAGTCTGGTCCTCAAGCCGGAAGTCCGGGCAGGTCGCTCCGGCGCCCGGGGCGCATGCGCGGCGGGCGCGCACTTCCGGGGCGCGGAGCGCGGGCCTGTGGAAGCGCCTGGCGCGGTGATTCGCGCGGGTGCGGGGCGAGCGATTCGGATGCGCGTGAGTGGGCGCCCGCGGGGGTGCTGAAAGAGAAGCAGCTCCAGGGACTCCCGGGCCGCCGCAGACATGATCCACGAGCTGCTCTTGGCCCTGAGTGGGTACCCAGGCTCCATTTTCACCTGGAACAAGCGGAGCGGCCTGCAGGTACGGAGCGGGTCGGACACGGCGCGGCGGGTTCGCCTGAGCCGCTGCGGAGGGCCGGGACCCGGGGCGCTGCGCCCGCGAGCCGTGAAAAACCCGAGGCCAACCCGGCTTGGCTCCGTCCTTGTGTGTGGCGGGGAACCCGGCCCTGCGGTCCCGAGACTCCTGCTAGGGAACCGCTAGGTGTGGGTAGAACTGTCCTTTTTTTTTTTTGCTTGTTTGTTTTTTCTGCCTATAAATTTACTGTTAAAGCGTGAATCCCTAAATGTGTATCTGTGGTTAGAAGACAGTTTATTATTAGAAAGAGAGTGTGGTGCTCTTGTATAGTCACGCTTGCATTGTTTGAGTTTTGAAAGTAGTGGCAATGCAAAGAGCTCAAGACACTGTGGACACTCACTCGGTTAATTGGGTTAGATGGAAAAATGAATTTGTACGCGTATGGCGTTTCCCTCCTTCGGAAGTTTATGTAGCAGGTGAAGAACTTTAATCATATGAGGAATGTACTCATCAGTTCTGTTTCTCTCGGGCTCTCACCCTCACTCTCTCTTTCCCCGCCCCCTCTGTCAACTTGACACAAATTAGAGGGAAACTGAATTGAGAAAATGTCCCTGTCAGGCTGGCCTGTGGGCAAGTCTGTGCTGCATTTTCTTGCCTGGTGATTGCTGTTTAAGGGCCCAGTGCACTGGGCCTTGGGCCGGGGGATTCCTTGGCAAGTGGTCTTGGGAGCTCTAAGAAAGCAGGCTGTTCCGCACAGGTGGAGCAAGCCAACAGCCAGCCTTCTCCGTGGTCTCCGCGGCAGTTTCTGCTCTGGCGTCCCTTCCTGGAGGACTGGAAGCTGAAATTAACCCTTTCCTCCCCGAGTTGTTTTTGGTCATGGTGTTTTTGTCACATAAATCTAACTAGGACAGGAAGACCGTAATATAGTGCAATATGTATTGTATCATTGAATCATTGCAGCAACCTAGGTTCAGAAGGTTAACTCCCAGGGTCACATAACTTTATTAGCATATCTTAGTCTTGAACTGAAGTCTGTCTGATTCCACTTTCAAAACTGTTACCATAACCTGTTTACAGTGTTACCATAGTCTGCTTTCAGTACTAATGTCTGGTGCTCTCAATAACTTAGTAACTGAAGTCTTGCACAAACTGAAGCTTGGAGAATGGTATGCTGACTATTCATGGCAGTCCTAGGAATTAAGATCTGTTCACAATGTGGTGTCTGTTCATAGGAAGACTGGCAGTTATAGGCCTTGGAGGATCAGGAAAGTTCTTTCTTCATCCATAAAACATTTAAATTGAACATATTTCTCTTGTTCCTTATAAATGTGAATTTGGGATTTAGAAGTGTGAGCTTTTAAAATTTTTGCATTATATCTTTGAAGACTGACACATTGCCAGTTGTGGAGGGAGGGAGGGAAATGGGCGGTACTGTGGGTGCTTGACTGACATTTGAAATAAAAGCAAATGACACGTGGGGCATGGCAAAGGCAGCTGTAAAAGCTGCAGCGAGAGCCACAAGTAGTTCAGCTTCCCTTTTCCTTTGTTATAAAGGTTTGAAACAGACATTTTCATCCTTTTCATTCCTAAGCCTCAGCTTTAAAGTCATTTCTTTGGAAGAGCTTTGTGTATTTCAGTATTCTTTTCTTATGCCTTTATTCTTTATAACAGCAATTTATTTCTTTTCTCAGACTTTGCACATTTAGTTCATCATTTGTTTTTTGTTGTTTTGTTTTTTGAGACAGGGTTTCTCTGTGTAGCCTTTCTCTCCATCTCCGTAACGAAGGCTTTTTCATCTTTTGAACTGTAGGCAGTTTAAATAGGGTGATTCTTTGTTGGGGAGGGAAGTGTGTTGTCTGTGCATGGTGTAATGTCAAATAGCATTTCCAGTGTCTTCTAGATAACAGTATCATCCCTTCAGTTGTGACAGCCAAAAGTAGTTTTAGACATTGCCAGATGCCCCTGGAACAAAACTGCCCCTGTGAGGCTCCCAGATGTAGCATGATAGTCTTTTGCTGAAAGTAAATTGGAAATGTTGAGTTTAATAGACTGACCCGGAGCCAGGCATAATGATTTGTGCCTGCAGTTCCAGCATTTGGGGAGCTGAGGCAGGATGACTGGCGTGATTCAAGGTCAGCCAAGGCTGCATTGCGGGACCCTCTCTCAAAAAAGAAAGAAAAAAGAAAAGAAAGGAATGGAGGACAGAGAAAGGCAGGGGAGAAAAGAATGACATCTGCAAGACTGCCTCTCTAAGTGTGTTATATAAAATGAGATCAGTAACTTCAAGGTGAAGTTTACTATTTCAGGGTAATTAAGGCTAAACTAGAATTTTTTTAAAGCAGAGTATGTGTGTATGGTATATGAGTGTGGGCATACATATCACAGAGTATGTGGAGATCAACTTTGTGAAGTCATTTCTTTTTTTTCACCTTTATTTAGGTTGCAGGGATTAAACTCGGGTCTTCAGGTTTTTGTGGCACATGCCTGACCCTCTGAGCCATTTCACTACGCTTAAACCTAAACTTTTCTAAAACTCTGTCAACAAGAAGTGTTCAGACTTGATAACTGTGTAAAAATGTCTTGTTGGTAACAAAAGGCACATATATGTATTGAGCACTTACTGTGTGATTAACACATGCCCTTTTTATATTGTATAATTATCACAATTATCGCCACTTTTTACATAGGAAAAATATGACATCGAGAGGTCTGTAACTTGCCTAAGTTTTCAAGCAAGGCATAATTTGAAGATAGAAGACAAGGGAGTCTCTGTCCCTGTCTCTCTGTTCTGTCTGTTATCTCTCTCTCTCCTGTCTCCCTCTCCCTCTCTCTCCCTCTCTCTCTCTCTCTCTCTCTCTCTGTGTGTGTGTGTGTGTGTGTGTGTGGGTCAGAGGACAACCTGAAGAAATCTCTTACTATGTGAGTCCACAATCTCAAACTCAGGTTGTCAGGCTTGGTGGCAAGCACCTTTATACATTGAGCCATCTTTCCAGCCCTTGTTGTATGTATTTTTTACTCTAACTTACCTATTTTAAGAGTAAGCAATTATCCCAGCACTCGAGGGGGCAGAGGCAGGTGGATTGCTGTGAGTTCAAGGCCAGCCTGGTCTACAAAGTGAGTCCAGGATAGCCAAGGCTACACAGAGAAACCCTATCTCAAAAACAAAAACAAACAACAACAAAAACAAACAAACAATTATATCTGAATAAGGAACACTACTTTGTAGTGGTGTAACAATAACTTGTCACCAGAATTACCAACCTGTTAACAAGGAAAGTTAAAGTCAAGTAAAACCATGGGCAACTGGAGGAAAGGAAATGGAAAAGAATGTAAATCATTTTAAGCCACAAAGAACCTTGGGTTGTGGCTAACAGGTATCAGTTTTCTTTATGACTGTCCCTCTTCTTGCAGGTTTCCCAGGACTTCCCATTTCTGCACCCCAGTGAGACTAGTGTTCTGAATCGACTCTGTCGGCTTGGCACAGACTACATTCGATTCACTGAGTTCATTGAACAGTATACAGGCCATGTGCAGCAACAGGTGGGATTCTGTTCTCTGGATATGTGCTTCTACAGGGCAGAGTGCTGTCAGACTCTTGATGAATTCACTGGTAAATAAGTTAGGAATTCCTGAATACTCCTGAATTTATGAATCACCGGAAATGCTCAAGGGAAGTCAAGAGCTCTGATTGATATTCTTGGGTAACAACAACAAAAATCCTGTTCTCTATTCATGTGTCTTACGTAGATTTTGTCTTACATCATATGAGAATTCCTACTTTTCAGGTTCCAAAGGAAGTCCTAATAGTACCTTAAAAAAAATAAAAAGTAAACAACAGCAACAACATTTTGTGATAAATGAAGACTCATTCCAGTTTTCTGCAGTGCCATAAGAGCAGAACAAAATTGGCTGGTTGTAAACCAGTCTGGTTCAGGCCCATCTGGTATTCTGTGTAGCATCTTCTGGCTGGCTACCCTGGGCTCTCTAACCCCTGAACCTAAGCTTTTGTAACACATCTGATGCTGAATTCTGTACTCTTGCCTACCTCTCTCAGAGCCTGGTTGCCCAGAGTTCTGCCTAGCCACAGGGGCTAGTCATACACTATAGCCTCTAGCTAACTCTTGATCATTACTTCCTCATATAAAACTATATGAGAAGTTTATGAAACTGACCAGATTCATTAGGCTTCTCCCTCTTAAGAATAAATAATAAAGACAAACCCAGCTACAGAGCAGACTCTTATACAAGTCCAGCAGTCTGGAAAGCAGCAGGAACCAACCAGACAACTTGAAGGATTCCTGAAAGACAAGCCATGTTTTATATAACCCCTCAATGAGCATCTCACAACCCCCAGGTTAGCTGTCAGACTCACATTTTACTTTGGATTTTTTAAAAAGATTTACGTTTTATTTTATGTATATGAATTCTGCTTGCTGCATATTTGTGCACCATGTGTATGCCTCCTGCCTGGCCAGGCCAGAAGCTATTGGGCCCCCCAGGAACTGGAATTTCCACTGGTTATGAGCTGCCATGTGGGGATGCACCTGAAGACAGGAAGTCCCTAAAACCAGATTCACTAGGCTCCTATCTCTACAGCAGCTTGAAAAAAGAAAAAACCAGCTGAGCTGCTTAAAAGAGGCCCAGACCAACTGAGGTGCCTCGACAGGACTCCAGCCTGTTGAGCTGCTGTAGACTGTGCAGGTTCTCAGCTTTGTGAGCTGTCATCCATGTTAGGCTGGGGTTTGGTGACACAGTTATCTTTCACATTTCCGCTTTTTTAAGTAACCTCTCACTCATATTCCTGTAAATAACCCAAACACAACTGATTGATTCACCAAGTCGACTTCAGTGGTATCTGTAGTTTGGTCTGTCATGGGCTCCCCATCTTTTACAGAGGGCACCTGTGAGCATGTGTCTGTCTGTCTGTGTTATATTTCCTCAGGAAAAAAATCTTGTCACACAACAGATGCTAGGAAGCAAATCCTACAATAAAAACTTTCCCTTCTCCATACCATGGAGTGGTCATGTCATCGTCTCTTTATTGTGCCCTCACATGCACTTTATCTTCAGTTGGTTTTCCTCTTCCACTTGCTAAAACACTGCTTTGATATGGATGACTTCTTGGGTTTCAAGTTCTGAGCTGAGAAGTGGACTTCTTTGTTTGTTTGCAGGATCACCATCCATCCCAGCAGGGCCAAGGTGGGCTACATGGGATCTACCTGAGGGCCTTCTGCACAGGGCTGGATTCAGTTTTACAGCCTTATCGCCAAGCACTGCTTGACCTGGAACTAGAGGTGAGAAAGTGGTGATAGCAGATTAGAGCATGTTCTTGACTTGGAAGTGGCCTTTGAAAAGGTCAGGCAGTTAAGAGTGAACTATTTCCTGTATGGTCAGAGGGTACAGTATTCAAAGTGGTTCCAGAGTGGCTTTGTAAAAGCCCTGGTTTTGGTGTATCATGAGAAAAGTAAATCTATAATCTATTAGTTCTGCAGAACTTAAACACTGAGATCAATGTCACATTGTTTCCTAGTTTATATAGAACAAGTGTATTCAAATTATTTTGTATAGAATTCTGATAACTGTACCTTTATTGCAGTTCCTGGCTGACCCACATCTCTCCATATCACATGTCAATTACTCCTTAGATCAGGTATGCCTTGGAATGCTAAAATGCTTTGGACTCTGTTGCTGTTTTTAGAATGATTGCAATTTGTGGCACTATATTAAAAATGTTTTTACCTAAGGTCAGAGCCCAATAAACACATTTTTGTGCATTTTATTAGCTGTGCTTTACAAGATGAGAACTGCTTTAAGAGTAGTGTATGTGGCGTCTGCCTGTCATCCCAGTGCTCAGAAGGAAGTGGCTACCCTAGTCTACAAGTTTTCTTCAGTGAGTTCCGGGCCAGCTAGAAAAACAACAAGAGTTCCACATTTAATTAGTTCTTAATGTGATGTGATTATTCTCCCATTGACATGGATATTGACAGTGACATCAGACTCAAAAGTACAAATTGCATCTATCTTCCATTTGCCTATCTGCAGCCGACTCTGGTATAGGATTGCCTTAGGATACTAGATCTTGACTATTCTGTGGTACTGCAGTTTTATCTTGGAAACAAGATAAACTTGTGTTTTGGTTTGGTTTGGTTTGGTTTTTTTGTGACAGGGTTTATCTGCGTAGTCCTGGCTGTCCTGGACCTCAACTCTGTGGACCAGGCTGGACTCGAACTCAAGAGATCTGCCTGCCTCTGCCTCCCAGGTGTTGGGATCAAAGGTGTTCGTTTTTATTCTTGCATTGTTTTTTTTTTAAATCATGTACTTGATTTATACTCTTAATTTTTTCTACTTTGCAGTTCCAGCTCCTTTTTCCCTCTGTGATGGTTGTAGTAGAGCAAATTAAAAGCCAAAAGGTGAGTACTTTGCTCTAGTAAGCATTAAAGAAAATCTAATAAGCAGAGCTGTTTTATAGTCTTCTTTGGAAGATACTGCTTTTAATAGTTTTTATTTATTAATTCAGCATTATCCCTTTATCATACAAAATGTCAGACATGCAAAAGTAGGACATTAATTATGTTTTCTTTAAATACCTTGTGATTGAGAAGGTAGAGTATGTGGATCTCCCTAAGAATGTTGCTGAGGTGAGAGCAGGCTGTACTGGGGGTTTGGAACCATGGGGGTTTGGAACCACTGGATATGCACAGGAGACGTACTTCTTAGAAAGAAAGACAGTGGTTTCCTGAGAGCTAAGAATCACTGGGCAAAACCCAGCTTGTTGTATTCATTCATGCAAGACAACACTTGTCACAAGTTTCATCACACACTGAACATTTAAGAGTTCCCTATGTCAGAAGAATGTCTTCTGAGCGGAGTTAATATATATGAGGAAAAAATGCTTAGAGATTTTATACTATAGGAGTTCTTTTCTTCTGTTTACCCATTTTTGGATTAAGCAGACAAATGAATTAAGCATGCTCAGCTCAGTAGAAAACCTGGAGGTGCTTTGTTAAGTAGTTAGCCAGATGACTTAGCCTGTAGCTGCTTTCCTTTTTCAGAGAGTATAGAAATTTAAAGCTCTGCCGCATTGACTCTGCTGGCAAAGCCAGTGCATCAGTGCTGACCACCCTCATTAAACTGCAGCATCTATTGCTCTATACCCTGCGCTGTTTTAAGTGTTTTCCATATGTAACTGCATGTATTCAGGGTCACAGAGAGCAAGGTAAATGACAGAATCTGTGTAACTCAAAGACTATGCTCTTAACCACTATATTAAACTCTCAAAATGGGAGGGAACCTTCTACATGAATGGAGTTAGTAGTGAGGGCACAGAATTCCATGCATAGCTTGTCTATCTCAGTTGACTTTCAGCTTCTGTTGGTTACAGGAAGAATGGGGAACAAATACAGGGACTGAGATGAGTAAACCTTCCTGCCTGGCCAGGTGGTGATAGAGGAACTAGTGTGCTAGTGTTCCACAGTTACTGAGGTGGTTGAGAGCAGGGAAGGAGGAGGAGAATGGGGACGGATTGCTTTTAGAGTCATGGGATATTGTAAAACTGTATTAGAGTATAATGCTGTATAATACTGTGAATTTACCAAAAGCGCTTAAAATAATACACTTTAACATACACATTTAGGGCATACAAATTATACCGGGAGGGCACAGAGACCTCCATTTAGGGGCAGGGTTCATATCTAATAAGTAGTCTGACTTGGGCCTTATCATGGAAGAAAGACATTTCTTTGGTTTTGAAACACCAATTCCGAATGACTCTGGTTTATTCAATGAATTGGCTCTAAACCAATGCACATATTAGAGTATGTTAATAAGCACCTGGAGTGCTTGTGCCTTCGGGTAAGAAGAGGGCTCCAGATCAGATCTCAGTGTAGATGGCCATGAGCCACCATGTAGTTGCTGGGAATTGAACTTAGGACCTTTAGTAGAACAACCAGTGCTCTTAACCTCTGAGCCATCTCTCTAGACCTGGAGTGCTTGTTAAACCATAGATACCTGGGCTTTATGCCCAAAATTTGCATTTCTGTCACCTTCACAGGTGTCCTGGTTATTTATTTTTAATTTTTTTTAACCAACTTGATAAAAACTAGAGTTATTTGGGAAAAGGGACCTCAACTGAGGAAACCCCTCCATTACATTATCTGTAGGGAAATCTATAGTGCATTTTCTTGATCAGTGATTGTAGGAGGGCCCAGCTCAATGCAAGCACTGCCACCGCTAGGCAGGTGGTCCTGGATGATAAGGCAGACTGAGCCAGCCATGGTGTGGGTTGGGGGTAGGGGAACACAGTAAGCCACGTGCCTCCATGGCCTTGCTTCAGTTCCCGCCTTCATGATGACCTCCAAACTATAAGCTGAAATAAACCCTTTCCCCAACAAGTTGCTTTTAATCATGGTATGTTACAGCATTAGAAACCACTATGACAACAGGTAACACTGATGATGCTCAGGGGAGGGGAGTCTATCTTTGCAAATTGACCATGTCAATTTGCTTGTGAGAAACTGTCTTAGTCTTTTCGACTGGACTGTGTTTTCTTGATTGGTGTAGAATGTGAGTTTTTGTAACCTAGATTGACAAGGCTGTATTTTCCACAGATTCATGGCTGTCAGATCCTGGAAACAGTTCACAAACACAGCTGTGGGGGGCTGCCTCCAGTCCGAAGCGCATTAGAAAAGTAAGTCATGGCTTCCAGAAGCACTGGGAGTAGAGGTGGGAGTCAGGTTGTATTTTCAGGTCACCTCAGGTGGATGACATTTTTAATGTTCTTGGATTAGGTTTGCAAGTCTTTTATTCAGAATTTTTGCATCTAGGTTCATAAGGGAAATTGGTCTGTAATTCTCTTTTTTTGTTGGGTCTCTGTGTGGTTTCAGTATCGGGTAACTGGCCTTGTAAAACAAAGTGGACAGTATTACTTCTGTTTCTATTTTGTATTGAAAGTCTGATAGAATTCTGCGCTAAAAGCATCTGTCCCTGGGCTTTTTGGTTGGGAGACTTTAATAACTTTTCTTTTTCACTAAGGGTTATAGGTCTATTTAAATTGCTTATCTGATCTGGACTTAACTTTGGTAAATGTTATATATTGAGAAAATTATCCATTTCTTTTAGATTTCCATTTCTGCTTGGCAGAATGGCCACATTTGCCACAGTCGGCTTCTGAAGGTGGTAAGCCTTAGAGCCACAGTGGCAACACAACATATGCATCTTATTACAATGCTTTCCAAAGGATGACATTCCTTTTGTCATCTTGCTTTGGCTGCCAAGACCAGAGAGACCAGAAGAGAGTTTGGGTTTTCTTTATTGAGGCTGTTTCCACTGTTATGTCTTGCACAGTTTTAGTCATTTCCTTCCACTGTTTGTTTTTCATAGCTTTCTTTAAGGGATTTATTCATTTCCTCTTTAATGACCTCTATGATAATCATAAAGGCTATTTTAAAGTCTTTTTCTTGTGCTTCATCTATGTTGTAATATTCAGGGCCTGCTGTGGTGGGGTAGTTAGGTTCTAGTGGAGATACATTGTGTCCTAGCAATTCCTGTGTTTTCATGCTGGCATCGGGCATCTGGGTTTGGGAAGATTATAATTCTAGGTGCTGATATTTGGGTGGGTGTTTTCTTTATTAGTTTCTGCTTCCTCTCTGGTTCTTAAATGTGATGGCTATGTGTTGCCTGATATGAAATGCTTCTGGGGTCCTAATAGTTGTGTCCACTGGGGGTGCCAGGTAAAATGTGTTTCTGGGTATTGAGAGTTGACACTTAAGAATGGGAATTGGCTGGAGAAGGGACTGAGGGGTCCATCAGGATCTGCCTAGTGCCCTGGGAACGGAGACAGAATGAGGAGAGTCCACAATAGCAGGTCTGCTACAGAGCCGGAGACTGGGGCATTGATATAGAGAAATGGAGGGAGACGGAGAACCCTCAGTTAGCCTGCTTGCTTCCCTGGTCAGTAGCCTTGGATTCCTAGGGAGTTGGGTTGAGATAAAGTTAATGGGTTGGGAGGTCAGGAGGAGAAGGTCTGTGTGAACTACTGGAGATGGGGACAGGCAGGAAAATGAGGCTGCAGTAAGTGGTCTATAGAGCTGGGGATGAGACTGGGGTATTAGATTTGGAAGAGCAAAGGGAGAGGTGAAGACTGGTTAGCCTACCTGCTTCCTGGCCAGAGGCACTATCTATCCACCCATCCACCTATTTACTTACTTACTTACTTACTTACTTACTTACTTACTTACTTACTTACTTACTTATCTATCTATCTATCTTTATTTTTGAAATAAGGGATTTCCTTTGAGTTTGTATATTTTAAATAATAGACTAAAGCTCTGGGTTTTTTTTTTTTCTCCAACTCATTTTGAAAAAATCAATTCTACAAAGAAGTTGAATATAAAGCACTTATCATCCTTTAGTTTTACCAAGTGTTAACATTTTGCCTAATTACATACACATCCTTCAGTTTTGTTGTTGGGTCATTAGAAGTAGTTGCAGATATCCTAAAACTCCTAAGGTGTTAGCTTATATTTGTTAGAAGAGAGACATTCTCTTTTTTTAATATAACATCAATACCAAATATGATACTTAGGATATTTTGAGATTTCTACACTTGTTACCCAACAGTCCAGTATAGCTGTTCTGTTTTTCACAATCCAGAATCTAGTATATTTTCATTTAGTTGTTATGTCTTTCAAGTCTATCTCTTTATGCCCACCCCTTCTCATTTTTATGGTATGTGTGTGTGTTTACTTTTTTAATTCAGAGTCTCATTCAGTAGCCTAGGCCCTCCTCAGCTTTCAGTTGCTGGAATTGCAGGCATGAGCCATACCCAAGTGTTTTGTGGTTTTTGTTGCTGTTTTTTCTTTGTTTTTGGAGACAGGTCAGGCTGGCCTCGAACTCATAGATCCTCTTGCCTCTGCCTCTCTGAGTGTTGGGATTACAGGTGTGTGCCACCATGCTTGGCTCACATCTGAACTTTTTAAAGTCTCCTTCAGTTTAAAACAGTGCCCTGGAGTAGAAGAGATGGTTCAGTGGTTAGGAGCAATTGCTGCATTTCACAGAACCTGGGTTCAGTTCTCAGCATGCACATGGCAGCTCACAACTGTCTATAACTGCTGCTCTAGTAGGATTAGATTGCTCTCTCCTCCACAGGCACGGGCATACAAAAGCACACATATACATAAAAGAAAGATAATTTCTAAAAATCTTTAGAACAATAGACACCCTTCTTTTGTTGTTGTTTTTTGATGACAACATATAGAAACTCTTTGCAGTTGCTATTGAATGCCCACAATTCAAATTTTTCTGATATCTTCTTCCTGACTATATTCAACGTAGACATTTTTAGCAAGAAGACTACACAGGTGACATTGTAGCAGAAGGTTAGTTTATCCTAGGATGCTGCTGTACAGTTTGATAATTTGTTTTAGGTGTTATTATCTATCAGGTCTCTATTACGGAGATACCTTTTACCTCTTTATAATGAGTATGCCCTCTGGTCACCCTTCAAAACCATCTCAGTAGCCATTCCCCAACTACCTTTCTACATTTTATTTTAGTTTCTGCATTTTATTAAGTAATATGTTATTCTGTCACTCTGGTATTCACATATTGAATCTTTTTCCCTGTGCAGTTCCAAGAAGAAGAAAATAAGTTCAAGGCTACATTAAGTAAAAATTGACTCCATTGCATCCACTTACATAAGACACATAAGTTTTGAAACTTACACAAAGAACAAAAATATTTGTCCTAAAAGAACATTAACTTAAACAAGTAAGCAGGTTGGACTTACATATGTATTTACATATGTAAAAAAAATTAATCAGTCTGTAATCAATTAAATTAGCACAGTTAATTTTACCTTGTTTCCCCCATGATTCACTAAACTCTCAAGCTTCTGTCTGTCCTGTCAGTATCAAGCATGATGTCTGGCCATGGTGAGTCTCAGTATTCTAAGTAGACTCATAAGGCTCTTGCCTCCTTCTCTCTGCAGAATCCTGGCTGTGTGCCATGGAGTCATGTATAAACAGCTCTCAGCCTGGATGCTGCATGGACTCCTCTTGGACCAGCACGAAGAGTTCTTCATCAAACAGGGTCCATCTTCTGGCAATATCAGCACACAGACAGAAGAGGATGAGGAAGATTTAGGAATTGGAGGCCTGACAGGGAAACAGCTGAGAGAACTGCAGGACCTGGTGAGGGCACAGCCGGAAGCCCACCTATCAGGAACACCTGTAACTGATTTACCTGCCTGCCCTTATCACAAGCCTGGCTGCCTTCCATGAGTGGATTAGTTAGAATCACTGGGCTTTCTCTTGACTAGTTAGTGATAAGTTTTATCTCTGCATAAGATAAAAGTTTTCTATCTGTGGCTTTTCATGTAATTTAGTTATCAATAGACTCCTCAAAGTCTTGTATTATCCACATTTATTTGTTCACCCATTGGCTCATTTACCTTGTATTTATGACTATTGGTTAGATTCAGGGCACTCTTATAGGCACCCAGCTACACAGACAGTGTAGTTCTTTTCCTTAAGAAGCGTATAATTTGATGGAAAATAGAGCAGTTACATTACAGTGTACCAGGTGCTCTGCAAAAGAGTACAGCTATTTTTGAAAGTTCTTAAAGTGGGGTTTTATAACTAAACAGGGATTTTTAAATTGAAAATTTGGTAGGACAGGTCACAGCACATCCAGGGATTGTGTATAATGGTAGAGGCTATGAAGGACAAGGCTCTGGAGGAACCGTTTGAACTTGGTCAGGTGAAGCTAAAGCATATGGTGTGCATGGTAGAGGAGTAAGGGAGATGGCAGCAGGTAAAGATACTGACTGAAGCAGGGACAGAATTCTGAAGGACTTTGTGAACAAAAAGGAAGAGTTTAGACTTGAACCTGAAAAGGGCTAAGTGTCGTTGGATAATTCCAGGCAAGGAGTAATAGGGGACTTAGGTGTTTTTAAAACCATTTCTTCAAAACCAAGATCAGAAGCTGAGCATGGTGGTGCATATCCGTGATCTCAGAACGTTATAGGACAGGCTGAAGCAGGGAGCCCACCAGTAGTTCAAGGCCAGGCTGAGTGACAAAATGAGACCCTGACTCTCCCTACCCCCAAATAACAGCAAAAAGATGGATATGGCAGTGAATACCAGTAGTCCCATCACTCGGGAATGAGAGGCAAAAGAATTATTCCAAGTTTGAATTATCCTAAGTTTTCTTGGTCTACATAGGGAGTTCTAAGCCAGCCTGAGCTAGAGTGAGACCCTGTCTCCAAAGAAAAACCAGAAATCAAGAGTAGCGGCTAAATAAATAAATAAGAGTAGTGGCATATAGATCAGTTAATAAAATCTTAGGGATTCTTGGGTGGAAAAAAAAAAAAGCAGTGATTCCAAGCATGGTAACTTTGAATTTGGAGACAAATAAAGAAGCCTGAGAGATTTTTAAAAAATGTAATCAATAGCAGTTTAGGGATTGGTTGTAAGTAAAGAGGGAAGTTTTGCCTTTAGCAGTTAGGCACTAGGTGAGTGACGAATGATAAGGAATGTGTGTTGCTGTTGTTTGCTGTAGTAGGCATCAAACCTGAGGCCAGACAAGTGTTCTACACATCTGAGCTATATTCCCAGCTCAAGGTCTAATATGGGATGTGTTGAGTCTAAGGAGCCTGTGGAAAATGTTCAGTGTGCTGAGTCTGGCAGAGTAGTGTGGCTTGCTCTGAAGCTAAGCATGGAGTAGTCAACATCTGGTTTACAAGTTTTTCATTTGCAGCCCATGGGAAGCTGCAAGAGGGTGTCTGTACAGTGTCTAGTAGGTCCACAGTATATATATTTGCAGGCCTGTTAAAAAAATTGTTATGATGCCCAGTGAAGCCATGTAAGATGGTATCTCTGAAAAATGTAGAACAAGGGAAAAGAGTCAGGGCTAGGTCTTGACAGAGCAAACATGCATATATGAGACCTGAAAAATACCAGTTAACTCTTGAAATTGTGTAAACCAGGAAGCTGAGGGTCTGCACACTTTACACAGTAGTAAAGCCTTATATTTAAAAACGGAGAGCTAGGCTGAGGGACTGGCTCCACTTGTCAAAATGCTTGTGAGAATGTGAGGACCTGGGTTCAAAGTCCTAGAACCCGTGTAAAAGCCAAATGCTATAGTGTGAATCTCAGTAATCTTAGTGCTCCTGCAGAGGTGGGAGGCAGAAACAGAATTCCTGGAGTCCTGAAGGCCATTTAGCTTGGCATACACAACAGAATAACAAGGAGACCTTGGTCTCAAGGTAGAAGTTGAGGTCCAGCACCTGCACTTTGTCCTTTGACCTCCATATGAACATACATTGTGAACCTTTACACAACGGAAAATTAAAAAATAAGTCAGTGCTTTCCACCATGTCAGTATTCTCTGTGAAAATGAAATATATTACAGAGCTGGGGACTTAAGAATTGTATAACTTCAGTTTACAACATAGATCATGGATTGGGAGAGTTAAGACCTGTCATCCTACTTCACATGATGGGTTATTTCCTTAACCAGCGCCTAATTGAGGAAGAGAACATGCTGGCCCCATCTCTGAAGCAGTTTTCCCTACGGGTTGAGATTTTACCATCCTACATTCCAGTGAGAGTTGCTGAAAAAATCCTCTTTGTTGGAGAATCTGTCCAGATGTTTGAGAATCAGAATGTGAACCTGACAAGGAAAGGTAAGAATCTCCTTGTTCTGTTGGCCACATCCTCAGTGCTGTCGCAAAGCATGCTGTGGTTGGAGTGGCAGGTAATAGTGATGAACTGCCTCAGCCAAAAGCTCTGACAGGCTTACCTGGGCAGCTGTGGCCCCTCTGTCCTGTCTGCTCTGACTGCTGTCTGATGATAGTGCCTTCGTACACCACAGGGTCCATCTTGAAGAACCAGGAGGACACTTTTGCTGCCGAGCTGCATCGACTCAAGCAGCAGCCACTCTTCAGCCTGGTGGATTTTGAGCAGGTGGTGGATCGGATTCGCAGCACTGTGGCTGAGGTCTGTCTTATATCTTCTGTTGTTCCAGAAAAAATGAGTTAGTAGCTTACAACCATCTGTAACTCCAGTTCCAGGAGATCCAGTGCCCTCTTCTGACTTCCAAAGGCACTAGACATGTTGATACAGATAATTATTTGGGCAAACACCCTTACACATAGAAACTATTAAGTAAAAGAACTTCTGGGCTGGAGAGAGGGCTCAGCAGTTAAGAGCACTGACTGTTCTTCCAGATGACCTGGGTTCAATTCCCAGTACCCACATGGCAGCTCACAACTGTCTGTAACTCCTGTTCCAGGTGATCCGACACCCTCACATAGACATACATGCAAACACCAATGTACATAAGATAAAAATAAATTGAAAAAAAAAAAAGAACTTCTGTTTTTCGGGTAGAAGTAGAATTAACCCTTCCACAGGCATATCTTGGAAGGAAAGCCAAGGAGACAAGATGGTGGTCCTGGCCCTTGAGACAAGTGGGAGGGATGAAAGGGCTCCTGGGTGCTAGTTCTTGAGCCGAGGGTGCTTATCATGGTGAACCTCAAGGTGTGAGCTCATGATTCATGTATTTTTCTGGATATATGTCACTACTTTGACAATAAGGTGTTTTAAATTTTTACGTATGTAAGAGTTTTTGGGTTTGGGCTGGAGAGATGGCTCAGAGGTTAAGAGCACTGGTTGCTCTTCTAGAGGTCTTGAGTTCAATTCCCAGCAACCACATGGTGGCTCACAACCATCGGTTCCCTCTTCTGGCAGGCAGGTGTATTTTCAGCAAAACACTATGCATACATAATAAATAAGTCTTTAAAAAATATATTTTGTTTTAATAGTATCTTTAGTTGTTTGTTGTATATATGGAGAAATAGTAATGCTAATATATTGCTGGCTAATCTTACACATTCCCCTTAATTCTGGGTTACTAACATTTTGATTCTTTAAGTTTTTTTCTTTTATGTTCTAAAGATGATATCTGAAAATAAGTGTTTTACAACATGCCTTCCAATGTTTAAACCTTTGCCCCTCATCCCCATACATTGTTCTCTTTGGCTGGCATTTTTAATGATAATATTAGATAGCTGAGCTCTGTATAAATTGTGTCAAACAGTAGAGAATGTCTCTGATTTCTTGACTCCTGGAGATGCAGAGAGTTCCTGCATTACTATGACATTACTGTACCAGTAAACCCAGTTCTTTCCTTTTTATAAGTCATGAACTTATGGAGATTTTAGCCAATGCTTTTTCTGCATCTGTTTAGATAACCAAATATTTCTTGTCTTAACTTTAATGTGGTAGGTTATACTTTTTTAGACACTATATAGAGACTCTAGTGAGTTCTGTAACTCACTAGAATAGATCAAGCTGGCCTTGAACTCACAGAGATCCTCCTACCTCTGCTTCCCAAGTGCTAGAATTTAAGGCATGAGCCACCATGCTTGACTACATTCACGACTTTTTAAAAGTAGATTGAGACAAAATTCACATAAATATTCAACATTGTAGCCATTGTTGAACCACTGATTTAAAAATTATATTCAATCAGTGGTTTTTAATTTCACAGAGTTGTGTGTGCAACTATTACCATTATTTTCAGGACATTTTTATCTTGCATTGGTTTTGTTTTGTATTTGTCTGTTTAAAACTATCTGTTCATTCCTAGAGTTAGCTGAGCCTGGAGTCACAGTAATGAACTTTGTGTTTTTTTTGTTTTTTTTAATCTCTATTATAGCACCTCTGGAAACTAATGGTAGAAGAATCAGATTTACTGGGTCAGCTGAAGGTACTAACTATTACTCTTTTAAATCTTGAAATGATTCTGGAAAGCACTCTTGCCTAGACTGCCACCACAGTAGACTCATTTGTTCTTACTCAACTGAGGAAAAAATAGATTTTATGCTACAAATCTTCTGTACTCTAAAGATTCAAACTTACATTCTTCTGTTGTGATCTAAATACCATCAAAACAGAGTTCTTCTCTTTGAGGGGCTGCTCTGTCTGCATCTTTAAAATGCCATGCCTGTGTCCTTCAGACTGATAATATCAGCCTGTGTATGTCTAATTCCCTTGGAGTAGTAAGGGCCTCCAGGCTCTCATTTACTGAATTGTACACTGGAATTCTTTCCTCAGATCATTAAAGACTTTTACCTTCTTGGACGAGGAGAACTGTTCCAGGCCTTCATTGACACAGCTCAACACATGTTAAAAACACCACCCACTGCAGTAACAGAGCATGGTAACTGTTCTATGCCCCTGAGAGTAAACAGTTTTTTGGCTAATGTTGTGTGTTGCATGTTTGCCTGCGGCAGCCAGAAGAGGAAGAACTTGAGTCACAGGCATTTGTGAGCTGCCAGGTGGGTGGTTGGAAGGGAACCTGGGTCCTCTGCAAGAGCAGCCAGTGCTCCTTAAAAGTTAAACCAGTGCTCCAGCCCCCAAAGCCTATTTTATCTTTTATGTAATGGAAATCTCAGAAAGCTTGGTTAGAAAATAATTTGCAGTTATTTCCAAAGCTTGGGTATGTCTCAGAACAATTAAAGTGAAAGATTTCAGTACTATCAAGACTTTTCTCCTTACCTTTGATGATGACCCCACAATACATCAGTAACAGCCCAGCCTGGTTTCTCTAGCAGCAAATTTAAAAAGTCCAGTGAAGTGCTTTGTTTTAATTGGTCCTCCCCAGATCACATGGCCATCATTTTAACAGTGAAGAAGTCAGGCATTAGCATATGCCTCTTTCAGTTAGGTGTCTTTCCCTTGGCCATTTTAATGGCCACCTTCTTCCAAGCACAAGAAAAGAATATAGCAAGGATCTGAGCCAAGAAAAAGAAAATAGAGAAATTGGAGGGCTATTGCTTTTCTAGTTTAGTGAAACAATAGATGTCCACTGTGCTTAATGGTACTTTTTTGTTGCAGATATCAGAAACCAGTTGAGATTCACTTACGCAAATAAAATAATTTATTGGCTTTCATAACAAAAATATCTCAGCGATGTGATAGTTTTAGGTAAAGCCTAATTATCTTCTTCAGTCTTTCACTTTTGTCTTCTCAGCAAGCAGGACAGGCCCTAGCCACATTTATATGGTACTAAAACTGATCTCAGAAGAGTGACACTCTTGCAGAGCCTTTGGTTTGGCCTGGATCAGAGCAAGTCTTTAAAAAAAAGAAAAACAGCCAAAAGGTCAGCTGTCATAACCCATTTGATCATGCTGCATATCCCTAAGAATTGACACTGCAGGAACTATACTGAGCAGAAATGATTCTCCCTGGATTAATAAATAAGGACAGCAGGGCAGTATTGGTGTACACCTTTGATCCTAGCACTCAGGGAGGCAGAGTCAGTTGGATCTCTGTGAAGCTAGCTCTGTCTACAAAGCTAGCTCTAGGACAGCCAAGGCTACACAGTGAAACCCTGTCTCAAAAAATCAAAACAACAAAATAATGACAAAGAAGACTTAATACTAGTCAGGCAAAAGCCACGGATGCTCTGACCCTAGCGCAAACCCTGCTGTTTTCATGTACTGTTTCTTGCAGATGTGAATGTGGCCTTTCAACAGTCAGCACACAAGGTATTGCTAGATGATGACAACCTTCTCCCTCTGTTGCACTTGACAATTGAGTATCATGGAAAAGACCACAAAGGTTTGCTCTTCTCTGATTGCCTCCTCTCTGTATCTTCTGGTCTTTATTATTATCCCTCCACAGAAACTATCGTTTTGGACCTTAGAAATCACCTGGTCTAGTACTCTAATTTTGTACAGGTGCAAATGGAATTGCAGAAAGGTTTGGGTAGGGTCTGTCCATGGTTGTTTTTGAAACTACAGCTATGTTTTTCTCTAAAACACCTCTCAGAAAAAGCCCTCACAGAAGTCTTCCCTTTCCCTTTACTGCCTCTCAGTGTAGCTTTTCAGCAGCACTGAAGTCTCATTTTATGTGTGTAATTCATCTTATCTCTCTTATTCTAATTAACCAAAGTATTTATTATTATCTTCTTAACTGTAGCCGATGCCACCCAGCCAAGAGAAGTGCCTTCTCGGGAAACATCTCCCCGGGAAGCCCCTGCTTCAGGATGGGCAGCTCTAGGTCTTTCCTACAAAGTACAGTGGCCGCTGCACATTCTCTTCACCCCAGCTGTCTTGGAAAAGTGAGTATTTCTGAGTTTTTCCCAAGTAAATATTACCCATCTAACATTGGTGGAAGCAAGCCAGTCATCCAGATGGTGTCTACACTACTAGGTCAGAGATTGCAGACTTGCCTGTCTTCAGGAGCTACACAGGTATTCTAGTTTATTTTCTTTTGCTTTAAAAAAAAAAAATGACTAAAATAAAAAGCAACTTGGGAAGAAAAGGTTTATTTGGTGTGTATATCTGGACAGCAGTCCTCCATGGAGGGCAATCAGAGTAGGAATTCAAGCAGGAACAGAGGGAGAAACCATGGAGGAATGCTTCTTACTGGCTTGTTCTTCAGTTTGCTTTTTTATACACCCCACACCCACCTGTCCAGGTGTGGGGCAGATGTGGGGCCCTCCATACCAGTCATCAGTCAAGAAAGTGCCTATAGGCCAATCTGATGAAGGCAGTTCCTTAATCAAGGCTCCCTTTTCCTGGGTGAACCCAGCTTGTGTCAAATTGACCAGTACAAAGCACAAAACCAACAGTTTACATTAGTAAGTGAAATGACAGTCATGACACAATAGGGAATGGTAAGAACTTGAACGAGTGGGAAGGCACATAGCCACTTGGAATCGTGACACTAGGGCTGGAGAAATAGCTCAGTAAGTAAAGGGAAGACCTGAATTTGAATTCCCCAGAATGCATGTGAAGTTGAGTGTGACCTGCCTGTAATCCCGCATTTCTACCATGAGATAGGTAGAAACTAGAATCAGGAAGCACCCAAGCCATACAGAGGGGCAAACTGCAAAAGAGCCTGTCTCTTTTGAGGGATGGTCCAGCTTGGCATTCACATGTGTGCCATGACATATGCCCACCTGCATTAAATCACTCACACGCACAAATGACCTTTAAGATTTTTTTTTAATGTGGGTCCGTGTCTGTATGCATGCTGAAGACCAGAACTAAAGTTGCATGCAATTGTGAGGTGCCCAGTATGGGATGCTAGAAACTGAATTCAGGTTTTATGCAAGACCAGCAAGTACTCTTAACAACTGAGCCATTTCTTTAGTCCCAGACAGACTTTGTTAATTTGTTTGAGACAGGATCTCTCTATATAGCCCTGGCTGTCCTGGACTATGTAATCCAGGCTGGCCTTGAACTTAGAGATCTGCCTGCCTTCTGCCTGCCTCTGCTTCCCAAGCACTGGGATTTAAAGGTGTGGACCACCATGCGTGGCCCAGACATTTCTTTTTAACTGACAAATAAACAATTGTAGGTTTATTACTTGTAGACTAGTTTGAGGCCTCTAGGATATGAAGTCTCAGGTACCACACTGAGTGCTGGCACTTGACTAGTCTATCAGTCCTTAGAAGTTTCTCCCTGTTCTTTATGATTTGTTTTTGATGATATTAATTTACTTGGGACCCTTGTATTAGTTGTGTTTCTGTTGCTGTGATAAAGAGTATAACAAAACCCAAAGGTTTTATTTGGCCTTTGGCTTGTAGCATATAGCATCAGGAAGGAAAGTCAGTAAGAATAGGGAGACAGGAACTGAGGCATAAGTCATGGAGCAGGGTGGCTTTACTGTTCATGGCTCATCAGCCTTTTTTATTTTTTTACTACTACTCAGAACAAGAATGTTACTACACTATGGGCTGGACCCTAACACATCAATTGTTCATCAAGAAAATGTCCCACAGACTTCCCTGCAGGCCACTCTAAAGGATACATTTTCCCAATTGAGGTTCTCGCTTCACAGATGACACTAGCTTGTATCAGTTTAAATAAAAATGAACCAACACAATCCTCTTACCTTCATGGGGAGACAACCAAACTAGAGGGAGCTGGTCCATGATGCGATGTGGACCTTATTATAGTGTTTTGATTGCAGTCTTGTCCCTTGGGATGAGCATCTGCCCAGTGCATAATGGGACTGTATGTCCCTAGGAAGGAGATGAGAGAAGCACACTGTACCTTGAGAAAGGATAAAGAGACCATTCTCACTGTGGCTACAAAAAAGAGGAAAAGACTATCTCTTCAGCCTACCTCCCACTAGCCTCCTTGCTCTTCACAGCTCGCCTACTGTTTTAGAATTTACAGAAGCCGGGCAGCCTGGGCTTACATAGGAAATGAGGAGGCTGCTGCAGGGAGAAGATTCTGTAACAGGTTCAGAGCTCACAGCCCATTTAGACAAGGTGTACAGTACAGATCTTGTCCAGACTCCAAAACTTGGCCACTCACTGGTGCCCACAGTCCATTCACCTCCTCGTTTGATGTGGGTTTTTAATATGTAATATTGCTTTAAAACCATTGCTTTTACTATTTAATAAAATATTTTTATGTTTAAACTTTAATGCTTTTAAAATAGTGTTAATATTTACTGTTTTGTGTGCACATGTGTTATGTATTTGAGGTATGTGTGTTATCTGAGTGGCTGCAGGATTCAAAGAGGATGTCCTCTCTCATGTTCCACCCTATTCCCCTGTGACAGGCTCTCTTATTGAAACTTAATTCTTTTGTTATACAACTGAAACTTGTGTCATTTTCTCCACCGTATAATTTACTGCATAAATACGCTTTCCTTGGCACTCTTAGCCTGGAGAGGTGACAGAGGAATCTGGGTCTGCTATGTGGAAGGGTGTTAGAGCAAGTTCTGTATCTCAGTGGTGCTTCTGCCATAGGTACAATGTTGTTTTCAAGTACTTACTGAGCGTGCGTCGTGTCCAAGCTGAACTGCAGCACTGCTGGGCCCTCCAGATGCAGCGCAAGCACCTCAAATCTAACCAAACAGACGCAGTGAAGTGGCGCCTAAGAAATCACATGGCTTTCTTGGTAGATAATCTTCAGTACTATCTCCAGGTGTGTTCTGAGTAGTGCATGGAAGAGGTGGGAAAAGGAGCCTAGAAAGCACTGAGAAGGGTCTGAGGTTCTGTATTTGGGAAAATGGAGCAGCTGGAGAAGTTTAGTAGTTATATCACTAGGAATTTATCACTTAAACTGCTTGGCATTTTAAGTGGAAACCCCTGGACAAAGAAAACTAGTCAGGATACGTAGGAGCAATGCACTGGGGCTGACTTGACCCTCTGTGTTTGTCAGACATGCCCAACCTTTTGACGTTGTGGTATGACATTGTCATTTACAAAGTTCACAACCAAGAACCAAGACACCCCTCCCATACCAAAAAAAAAAAAAAAAAAAAAAGAATCTTATAATCTTTTAACTAATTTTATAATTTTGTGCTGCTCCTTGGCTACACATATTCCATACCTGTCCTTGGCTACATACCGGACAAGCCTGCTATTGCTAACTAAGTCAGTCAGTAGAAGGGACAGGGTCTGAGTGGATTACAATAGGAGGGGAGAGTGGTCTGCAAAGACATGTGAAGCTGCTAAAAATTACCCATGGAGCTGGAAAGATGGTTTAGCTGTTAAGAGCACTGACTGCACTCGCAAAGGACCCAGTTTTGTTTCCTAGCACCCATGTAGTGGCTCACAACCATCTGTAACTCTAGTCCCAAAGGATCCGATTCCCTCTTCTGACTTCTGAGGGCACCATGTATGCATGTGGTACACATACACACATGCAAGCAAAATACCTTTACATCCACACTGAGAAGTTCCAGGAAGGAGAATCACAAAACCTGGGCTATACCAAGACCCTATGTTGAAAGAAACAAATGGCAGGAAATGTAGCTCAGTGCTACAGCCTCCCCTTGCACAAACAAGGCCCTAAGCAACACATACACTCCACAAGGCTCAGCAATTGAAACATGTCACTGGTCAGTCTAAAGTGGCAAGAAGGAAGATGAGGGCTAGTGAGATGGCTGGGTAAAGGCTAGAGCCCACAAGCCTGATGACCTGGGACCTTACTTGGTAGATGAGTATGGAAGAGACCCTGGAAAGTTGTTCTCCTCCCACCACATGTACTCTGCGGCATGAACAGTTCACACACGTATACTAAAATAAAAGATGAGAAGAACCATAAAATAGAACACACAAGATGTACCAGGTGCTAAAAAAATTTTTTTTTCTGTCTGTCAGGTAGATGTGCTGGAGTCTCAGTTCTCACAGCTGCTTCATCAGATCAATTCCACTCGGGACTTTGAAAGCATTCGATTGGCCCATGATCACTTCCTAAGCAATTTGCTGGCCCAGTCCTTTATTTTGCTGAAACCTGTAAGTAGGGGTGGTTTGATTCCTTAGTCTAATATTAATATGTTTCTTTAGGTTCTTGGTATTGACAAGATATGAAACTGTTAAGTATCTGTTCAGTTCCATTTTTACATTTTGACAACTCAAGGCAAAACAAAAAGATAGTGTTAAAAGGGCACTGAAACATTACAGGGTATGGTGAACAGGTATAGTTAAAAGAACTATTTGTTTAACCCCTAGAGGAAATGACTTACAGAAGTTCAGAAATCTCCCTGACTCTACAGGAAAACAGCAGAATTCACTTTCTTAGAAATCTGTTGGACCAGGATCAACCAATCATTTTAGAGTTGTTTTCATAGGTCCATAGTGCCTATCACTCGGGGTGTATGTCTGTCTGCCAAGTATACACACTTAAGGTTGAGCTGCCCCAGAGGTACTTGACTATATACTGGAATCATCTGTGACATTGTGGAAATCTAAGGCCAGAGAACACTTAAGTCAGAGATGCAGACTGGGGTCTAGGCACCAATAATTGTCAGCATACAAGCTGGTTCCAATCCAGATGAAAAGTGAGAGTCAGGGACTGAAAAAACCCTGTAGTGTTTATACTCTGATCTCTGCCTTACTGCTCAGGGCATAAATCTCGTATGGGCTTCTTTTTGTTCTGGTATTTGGGGCTGTTACTTGCTACACCAAGGAAGAGCAACCTAAGTAGCGTCCACTCTGAAAGGTTCTGTAAACTGAGAAAATGCTGCAGGTAGGCACTGTTCTTGCATGGCATGGGTGTATCCTTGAGGAAAAGCAAATCAGAACAGGTCATTATAATTGAAGTCTTTATTGAGTGCTTACTGTATGCAAGGCACTGGGGATACAAAGAGGTATAAGTCATGGCTCTGCCCTTAAGGAGCTCACAATCTAGTTGGAGAAACAAGACATGTACATACAAAAGTCAGCAACGGCACAGGTGGACTGGATAGTTGCCAGTAAACAACACAGATACTACAGTAAAGAAGGGTGGAGCTCACTAAAGGCTGCAGTGGGGAAGGAGCATTTCAGAGAATGAGGCTTGAACTGTTTAAAAAGAAGGGAAATCCCAGGGAACGACACTCACAGCTCAAAGGCAAGAGCACACACAGTGGGTCTAAGGAATGACGATGAGTTAATGGTGGCGAGAGTGAAGGATTTGTGCAGGGGGACAGACAAGAATGCAGCTGTCTCAGGATGTTGCATGTTGCTTGGGAGGGCCAGATAGCCTTGAAGGTGGTGGTTGCTGTCTGTGTCCAGACATGGGAGGGCAGCTGTTAAGACTATTTTCCCAAACCTTGCTTTTCTCAGAGGTTTCTTCCTTCATTTAATACCAGCTATATTTTTGGGTAGGTGTTTCACTGCCTGAATGAAATCCTAGATCTCTGTCACAGTTTTTGTTCGCTGGTCAGTCAGAACCTGGGTCCACTTGATGAGCGGGGAGCTGCCCAGCTGAGCATTCTTGTGAAGGTGAGCTGTCTAGCCACTGGAAATACATACCCCCACCCCACCCCATGGAACAAGCAGTCTTTGCTCTGAGTCAATAAAGCATTTCCCAGAACAGACACAGAAATGACAAGATAAAAAGATAAAAGTGCTGGTATCAGTGAGCTTTGAAGATGATTAATGTGCCTCACAGTGTTCAAAAATAGTTCAGCCCTGAATAGTTTATCCAGCCCACTAAGTGTGCATTGGCTTTGTGCTCATTTTCTCACATCCCACTTCCTTCCCTGAACCAGCTTCCTATCTCACTTGTAATTATAATCTAAATACATCTCCTTGTAACAAAGCAAGCTCACTGCAGTCCTAGTATGTGGTAGAATATATTAATGTGAAATGAGCTGCTAAATTCCTACTAATGAGAAAGTACTTTCATGGAAGTCATGCATTTCACAGACATGATACTAACAAGTCAGAGTCGTTTCAGGAGCTGATTGAAATGGGAGTATGGGAAGGTCAGGTTTCCTGCAGAAATTTAAGCAAGGCTTTTTCAAAGAACCCTAGGCACCCACACTCTGCATGAGCAGTGATAGTTCCGGTCTTTCAACAGGGCTTTAGTCGCCAGTCTTCACTCCTGTTCAAGATTCTTTCCAGTGTTCGGAATCACCAGATCAACTCAGACTTGGCTCAATTACTGCTCCGGCTAGATTACAATAAATATTATACCCAAGCTGGTGGAACTCTGGGCAGGTAGGAACAATCCTTGGGGACTCGTTAGATTTGGGGAGAGAGGATTAATGAATTGTAGAAATACAAAATGCAACTTTAGCCATCATTTCCAAATGCCCTTATTTTATAAGCAAGGCTCAGAGATAGGAAAATTGAGTGTGTGTTGGGGGATGAGGGGGTGGGGGCAGGTGATCATGTTCCATAATTTTACTGTTAAAAATAATCAGCATAGTAGAGTGCAACAGCTGAGGGTAAGTTCTGTGCTAGATATGCACTGCTGCGTTCTAATGGGCAGTCTGGCTTCTGCCACCCTGACATGTCCTAGCAGTGCAGCTGTGACACCATGCTTCACTGGCCACTGTTCTTTTTCAATAAAATTGGGCAATGCCTCTTTCTGAACTTCCTTAGATCTAATAATGAGATTCTGTGGCAGTTGCTTCTCAGAGATCCGAGTCATTGCCATTTGGAAAAGCCATTTCATTGCCCTTCATTGCCATCTTCCTCTCTAAGATGTTCACAAAGATTCTCTTCTATCTAGTTTTAGCAGAAGCCATACATCTTTTGAGTATCAGAGTGTTAGCTATATTTTGGATTGCTGTGATTCTTTGGAAAGCATGACAATTAATGAAACTTTTTTCTTTTATAGTTTTGGGATGTGAAAATTCCGGTTCATTCTGATGTCTGTAACAAAGTCATTCATGAAATGCCTACGGACTGGCCAAAGAAAGGGTGCTAGCTTTTTGTTCTAGAAGCAGTCTAGAGGTATAAATCCTTTCTACCATTTCTGTAGGGTACTGGGGTCACAGGAAGGCTTTGATCCTTAACACTAAGAGACCCTTGGGTGGGTTCACTGTGCAGCAGTGGTGTATTCAACATTTACTGTATCCCTTTGGAATCTGGAAGATACCGCAGTACAGTGGGGATAAAATAGTTTAGGTTTGCCTCATCTGTAAAAAGGCTATTAGGATTATGAACAGGCTTATGAACGGGTCAGCTTCTAGATGTTATCACCAAATTAGAAAACATTTAAGACAGGCTGTAGATTTCCCTGTTTCTCTACTTTCTAATTTTTAACTACACAGATTACCTTGATCCTTTGGAAATTTAAAATTTGAGAGCCTTCCCTCTAAGGATACTCTAAACCTGATCTGAAGAATTCAGCCAATAGGTTCTAATTCTTTCAGACTAGTACAAGAGCAAGTCTAGCTAAAAATGATAAAGGTCAAATTGTTCAGATTTTAGAAACTGAAAATTGCAACCCAGTTTTCCCACTTTAGACAAACCACATGAGTTAAGGTTATGGTCAGATAGCCTAGCCACCACTGGCAAGCACTAATGTTCATAAATACATCAGCATAAACAAAGGAAATGCTTCATAACATACCTTCTCTCCAAGCTGGACAAGAATGCAGTGTTCAGGCCTCAGTTTGTAGTCACTGCATCTTACCTTCATCTACATTTTCTACCACCAACTATGAAAGCCTGAGCCCCTGTACTTATCAACTAGAGAGGATCCCTTCTGTTGTTACCTCTAGGAGCAAGGCTTGGCAGATAATGGCCTGCTGCTTGTGTTTGTAAATAAAGTGTTATTCAAACAGCCACACATACTTATTTACCTATTGTCTATGATTGCTTTCATCTCATAGCAAAAGACAAGTTGACAACAAAGCCTAAAATAAATATTTACTGTTTGGCTCTATCGAAAAAAATAAAAGCTGGTAGCCTTTATTTAGAGAATGAAAGGAAGATCATTAATGGGTGATGTTGAATGTGAGGAAGGAATAGCTTCCAGCAGCTGTAACAACTTATTTTACAGAAAACCATCCTATCAAGTTATAGTCACTGTCCATAGCAAAATTGGTCATTTTCTCTTTCAGCTCTGAATACCCGTACGTAGGTCAGCTGTTAATAAACTCAGGTTGTGCTGTCCCCAATCCCTTTCAACTTTAGCACTAATGTTCATATAGGCCCTTCACCTACTTTAAACTCCATTTTTAGAAGCATAACATTTTAGATGGCCTGGGATAACCTTTTCACATTGACAGTGGTGTCACAGAATAAAGTTCATTCCTACATTTTTATCTCCCCTTGTTTGCTATACTGCTAAAATGATAAGCCTGCTAGAAAACTTCAGAGATGATCCTATGTTTACCATGTTCTGAGATTAAGCTTAAAAAAACAGATGAAGAAATCCCAGTTACTACAACCAAAGAGATTCAACATTTATTTTATCATAAAAGTCCAGCAAATAAAACTATGTACAAGATCCATGCAAAGAATACAGTTACACACAAGACACACTTAAAACCTGATTAAAACACAATCTCCACAATAGCAGGGAATAAAACCATTAAGACCAAATATCTTTAGTGAGAAACATAATCATGTTTATATTTTGGATGCTGCTTGAATCCAATTCTTTCCCCAACAATGAGGCACTGGATCACCCACTCTTGTGATACCACAGGCAGCTGCAAGGCTTCAGCACACTTGAGCACCGAGGCTGGGCATGAGGGGTCTGTCACCACCACATCAAACACCCCTAAAGCAATGTCTGCAAGAAGTGGGGGAGTGAATGAAGAAAGAACACTCAGTTTACCTCTTTATTAAAAGACAGGTGTGCCTTCTAGCCAGTATTCCCTACTCTTCCAAACCAAGGCCCTCTGTATGTTTACGACCTAAAACAGAAGTAATCAGCACTTGCTGACCTTGTAGAACTACTCAATGGGAATGCCACTGGAGAGACTAGAAGCGTTAACACTTTGTCCTTCACTTCACCCTATCTGAAGGTGGGACTTCTCTCAAAAATGAAGCCTGAGATTTGGAAACATCTGTGCATCTAACGACATCCCTGGAATGACTATGAAACACATGCTTTCCAGGTACCTTTGTTGTGGGCACTTGAGTGGTGCTGCTTCACAGAGGCTGCCCCTCCAGTCATGAGGATCTCAGACCAGAGCTCCAGGAAGTTCTGTTGTTGATCTGACACCAAGAGGACCTTCAGATTCTGGAAAGGGTTTTCACGGGGTTGCCTGTGAAGGAGTTGGAGACATCATTTGGGAACTGAACTATAAAACTTTGTAAAAGTCTGTAACCAGTCTCAAAGGTACTCCTGCACATCTGAATACTTTTCTGCCTCTCTTCAGAATGACACATGCACTCTGAGATACCAGACTTTGCTAATAAACCAGTATGTCCCTGAGTCTCCTCCCCTCTTTTTAAGTTTAATGATTGAAACTTAATCCTAATTTCAGTGCTTCCCCTACTGAGGAATACTGATCCTATACACCAAAATCTCCACACATTCAGAAGGTTCCCAGCCAATGTAAAATGAGGCTATGCAATAAAATACTTGACTGCTGAAATCATTTCAAATTCATTCAAATTCTTACAGTCTACAGACATTCCAGTTTCTAGTAACACTTCATTTTCTCAACTAGACTTTCCTCCCAAAAGCTAGTCTTCCTCTCTTCTCAGCTCTAGATGGGTTCCCAAACACTCACCAATCCAGAATTCTTTGCTCCTCGAGGCTATATCCAGCAGGCAACAGATAATTACGGTAGTTTTGGAGCTGGTTGGCATGACAACTGTCATGGACCCAGACATGAGACACACAAGGAATTCCACTGGCAAGGCACAGGAAATACTTCCGGGTTCGACAATGTTGGTCCGCAATCAGGAGACACTGGTAGGCTGTGTTACACTAGAAGAAAAGAAGCCCAACTGATGGGTCAAGTGTCTAGGAAACCTTTCCTTGACTAGTTACACCTAATGAGCCCTCAAGAGTAAAATATGAAGACTTCCAATTGGTATCAAAAATCCTGTTTAATCTGTTTTTGTACCTGAGGCTATGTTGCTCACTAAAAAGCTAAAACTGCTTCCTGAGTTTCCCCATCTAACCTACAGCTTTTGGAAGGCCTAAGTCTCAAGGGTTAACCATACCAGGAACCACCCCCTTTCAGAATAGGGAATCAGCAACAACAATAGGCTTTTTATTAAATATAATTTCAATCTGTTGTTGTCACCACGGAGCCACTTCCACCTAGCACAACCTCTAGGTTTCTTGCTTGTGTACAGTGAAATGCGGAGATAGTGCGGTAGTACTGTAACCTGGACCTCAGGCGACCTCCCAAACTCATAGGCCTTTTCTCAGTACAGAGAGTGGGTAACCACAAGAGAAAGTCCTCACCTGGGCTTCATTGAAGTCTTCAAGGATATACCCAGCTCCTGCTCGAAGCTGGCATTCTGTATACTGCTTATTGAAAGGAGGAATTTCTAAAAATTCTGTATATATGTTAAAAAAAATCCAAAGATTATTATTTTTAATAATCTTAAATTTTAAATAATAAGGGTTGGGTTTCTAGGTACTACTTTAATGGCTATTGGTAACTGCTTCCTTTTCTATTCTGCAGCTATTAGTCCTTAGACACACAGATTTAACAATTTATTCGAGGAGTTGAACAGCCTGTATCTCTCATTATTCACAGTCCGCTTTCTGGACTATACTATACCAGCGACAAACACCTATGCAGGACTGCCTTGTGAAGTCTGGTTTCAAGGACTAAGTTTTAAAAGCCACACAGGAAAAGCAAAAAGAAGACTGCAAACCATCTTTACTGCCAGGCTGTGACATGGAACTCAAGGGACTCCGAATACTGCCATCAGGCTAGGTTACTGCTTAGATGCTTTTTCTTCCCTGTACACACCTGAATTTTGTTTTGACAAACCACACGTATTTCACCTGCTCTCTCAACCCAGGGGCCCGTCTCTAAGCATCTAGAGTCTTCCTATTACAAATCTGAAGTGCAGCTCCCCCAATCACTGTCCCCAAGCCCTGTATGTTTCCATTGCTGTAGGTGGTGGGTAGTTAGGAATAATTAGGACAGTCATCACACATCTTGAGTTGTACCATTTTATGACAATCATGTGCTCTCATTTTGATCCTCTGCAACATCCAACATTAGAACTCTTTAACTTATGAAACAACATTCCATCTAGTTCTTAGCTTGGACAGTTATCTGTAAACACTGTCCATCACTATTCATTTGATCTATACATTCTCTCCTACACCACACATCTGTCAGACCTCTGAACTACATTCTACCACCTGACTATAGACTTTACCTAGACACAAACTAATGTCTCCCACATGAATGTGACATACAGACTTATTTTAAGGTTAATCAGAGGTTCAAGAATGGAAAGGGCCTAGAAACTAATTCTTCCCAAACTGGGGACACCTCAATCCCTTTCTTACACTCAGAATGAAATATATCCTCCACATAGATTTTCTTTTATTATTATTATTTATTATAATTTATTCACTTTGTATCCCTGCTGTGCCCTCCCCTCTCTAGGCTCCTCCCAATCCCTAAGTAGATGCTAAAGCATAAATGGGGAAGGTGGTAGGACATCAGGAACCTGGTTCATGTGTTTGGTTATAGGAAGGTAAAACCAGCACTGTATTCTAATTCCGAGTCTGCCATTGCTGAAGCCATTTAACCCTGAAAGATTTTTTTTGGTTTTGTTTGTTTTTCAAGACAGGGTTTCTCTGTGAAGCCTTGGCTGTCCTGGACTCGATTTGTAGACCAGGCTGGCCTCGAACTCACAGAGATCCGCCTGCCTCTGCCTCTCTGTACTGAGATTACAGGCATGTACCACCATGCCTGGCTTCCTTGATAGATTTTTATCATACATTTTATGTGTGAAGAATCAAACTCTTTCCCTAGGCCAGCAAGATGACTCAGCAGGCAAAGGCACTTACTGCCAAGTCTGGTGACCTCAATTTGATCCCCTGGGAACCCTTATAGTGGGAGGAAAGAGAACACACTCTTACAAGTTGTCCTATGACTTCCACAAATGTGCACACATACGTACACACCTATGTACTTTATCTATGTAATATGTAAAGTAACAAAAACACCTATTTCTCAGATGTTCACCGACACTATCTTGAGATCCACTAGCTGCGAATTTTGTGAAAAATCTACAAACCAGAAGTAGGGAGGTGTAGTTACCACCTGCCTGGGGCACCACCCTACCTAAACAAAGTCCCAAAGTAAATGGAAAGAGTGCATGAGTCAGAACCCTGGGAACTCACCCTCGTCCTCCTCGCTGCTTCCTGCGGGACCATCCAGCAGTCTAGAACGACTGGCCAACTTGTCACTGGTTGTGGCCATTGTAAGGAGAAAGGCATAGCCCAGAAACAAGGTCTTGTTGAGGGGCAGGGGCCCTCTTGGCTCTTCCAGGGCAGAAGGTTCACCTGTGTTGTCTCCACTCTCACAGGGGCTCACAAACTCTCCTGCCCCCACTGTACCTGGGCAGGACAAAGCACAGTTACTAAAATGATGCACACAGACACTGCTTGGACAGAGGCCCAGCACCAAGTATGGCCTGATAGGCCATGTCCTAATACGCTTTTCTAAGCCATGACCCAAAGACGAGTAATACAGCCAGTCATTCTAAATGGCCAACAAACTAGGACCAAATTTAGAATGAGGACAAAATGACATTTAAATCTGACATGACCATTACAGTGGGCAGTTTCTGTTTTCATATATGTAAACCAGCTAGTACTACTTCTATAACATCAAATACTTCTAA